ACAACAACGACAACAACAACCACAATAGTAGCAACCCCAGTGGCACTGTCCTTAGTCGAGGCTCACGCAAGCGTGCTGAGCAAACAGCAACAACAACAACAACAAACACACCAAGCCCAGTGGCACAGGTCCTTAGTCGAGGCGCGCGCACCGACAACCACCAGACAAACAAAAACAAGGAACAACAACAACAACAAGAAGAACAACAGCAACAACAACCACAACAGCCACAACGACAACCACAACCACAACCACAACAATCGAGCGGCCGAGAACAAGCCAAATGGTTCATTACACTTTGCTCAGGCACAAGAATCTCATGCTCTACTAAACCAAAAAAAACCTAAGAAAAATGTCTCAAGCAGCATGCGTAAATGAAAGCGCCACCTCTCCACCAAGCTGGTTCGAGCACGGAGGCGGCAACCGAGGAAGTCCCCGAGTTATTAAGCAAATACATTGTTATCCATCGGAAATGGCTGCGCAAGAGGCTGTGGAGGCGTGTTCCGAACATGCTCTCAACAATATAAGATCCCCGAACCTGAAATCCCTAGCCGGCTAACCCCCCAAACCCCTAAACTGAAGCCCACAATCCCAATCCCTAAACCCTAAGACTCCAAGTATACAAATGGTACCTACTTTGGGGTTCCAAGTCTATGAATGGTACCCACTTTGGGCTACTTGGAGTCTTAGGAAAACCCTTAAGCCCTGAACCCCGAAACGCGAAGCCGTGAGCCCAAGGTACTTTCACGCGAACTCCGAGGACATTGGCACTGCCTTCCATTTCGTAAAACACATGCGAGATCAGTTCAAGGCCAGCAGCACTTGGGTGGGTCCGGGTTTAGTTAGCGTTCAGGAGGTTTAGGCTTCAGCATTTAGCTTACATCGGGGTTTAGGCAGTGTTTCGGGTTAGGGTTTGGGGTTCTAGGGTGGGCGTTCAGCTAGGCCATGCACAGACATACGAAGAGAAACATGGTGGACAAACAGTCTTAGGCTTAGAAGGACCCTCGCGGTGAACACCAAAACCATTACACCCTCAACCTTGCACCCGAACCCTAACCCCTAAACCCTAAACCCTAAACCCTAAACCCTAAACCCTTACCCCTAAACCCTAAACCCTATACCCTAAACCCTAAATCCTAAGCCCTATAACCCTAGTTTATATAGGGAACCCGAGGCGCCCTATTCTAGTTCTAGCTGCTGAGACCCCCCAGACCCCCAGACCCCACAACCCTAGAGCTCTTATTCCTGGGCTCAAAACTCAACCGTAAACCCTAAACTGAAACCCTAAACTTAAACCCTAAACTTAAGCCCTAAACCCTAAACTTGAACCCTAACCCCTGGTATCCCTAAGAACCCTCAGCCCAGTACTTCTGTTGACGATTAAAATCCTGCATTACCTTAAGGACCCAAAACTATGGGAATCCTGGTATCCTAAACCATAAACCCTAAACCTTAAGGACCCTAAACTACGGGATTTTTTGCATAATTGTTATAACGGGTAGTGCAGGATTTATACCATCAGCCGTAGGTGAACGTCATTGCCGTGGAGTATCCCGGCTATGGGCTACTGCAAGGCATCGAGCCCGCCGAGGAGGACAGGATAGGGTTCAGGGTTTAGGGTTTAGGGTTTAGGGTTCAGGGTTCAGGGTTCAGGTTTAGGGTTGTAGAGCTTAGGTTTTCTTGCAGAACCCAAAGTTCTAAAACCCTACCTAAACCCTAAACCCTTAAACCCCAGATCCCTTAGAGCGTTCGGGGGTTTAGGGTTTATAGTTCTTATGCCGGACCAAGGCCATGCGGTTTGGGGTCCAGAGGTTTCAGGTTGAGGTTAGTTGAGGGGTGCTTTTTAGGAGAGATTCTGCCGATCCGTACACCGGTCCGTAAATCTGTGCCCCTCAAATCCTTCCTATGGGATACAAGTCCCTTGGCCATCACTCAGACCAAGAATTTCAGGTCCGACCCCTTACAGATCCCTTGCAGGAGCCTTTTTTACCCTACACCCTAAACCCTTCACGTGCCCGCATTCCAGACCATCTTCGAAGTCGCCCTTACGGTGTTCAGATATCTCGTGGATGACTTGCGAGTCAGCTATTCTTCTGTGATCGCTGCTTGGACCATTTCCTTAGGGCCCAGGGCCTTCAGAGGTTTGAGGGCCTTCAGGACTTTAGGGCTTTTGGGGTTTAGAGTTTAGGGTTGAGGGTTCGGAGTTTAGGGTTTAGGGTTGAGGGTTCGGGGTTTAGGGTTTATATAGAGTTAAGGGTTGAGGCTTCAGGATTTACGGCTTTAGGGAGTTTAGGGTGGAGGGTTTAGGGTCGGCAGGATGTCGGGCATTTGGGCATTGTAAAGTAGCGCTTTTGGGGTTACGGATCAGGGTTTAGGGCTTGCAACTCCAAACCTCGTAAATCTCACACCCTCGCACCCGAAGCCATATGACTTGACCACAAACCATACAAGGCAGAAAGCTGCTGTGCATTAGCTGCCCTCCAAAATAGCAACAAACCTACTTAGCCTTGTTTCAGTCTCAAACCCTGTATAGCTCTACTTGAAAAATCTGCTGCCTTTCGGCGATGTTCTGAGATACGTATGGCATCGTCCTGTGTGGGCTTCTTGCTCTTGCACGGTATGTTCTTTACTTTACACCCGTGCGCCCCTGCACCCCTCACACACCGTTGATCGTGCACTCTCCGGCCCTTTCCCCCTCCACTCTCTCCTCTACCCTCCCCGTCACGGCATAGGGCAGAATGCAGAGAGCGGAGGCAGGTACCAAAACCCCGACCCGCTAAGCCGAAAAACCTAACTGACCTATCGACCCAATCCGAGGTTTTCGGCCGATCCTTGGGAAGTGGCCCCGCGATCTTTTTGGCATCCCAGTACCTTGGGTTCGTCGAGATCTTTGCAAGGTTTCATGGGCTCTTTGTAGAGTCATCTAGAGGGCTTAAGAGGCTGCGGCTTGGTAATCAGATTCCTAAGGGTCTTTGGCCGTGGTTTCGTTGGTTTAGTGTGTACGTTCTGTCTTCAGAAAGCGCTCTCCTCTTCGGATCTTGACCCTGAACTCTAAAACAGTATCTCACGTCGAGTTTATTTTTGCAGCTCCTGTGGGATATTGGTGAGTGTATATTCTGGGTTTCGTTACTGTCACTTAAGAGCCCAAATCCCAAATTTTACGGAAAAAGCGGCTGACCGCTTCGTTCGTGGGCGAGGCGATTTAATTTAACGTCCAAGCCCAGATGCTGTCACTAACTGCCTGGTCGTCTGACTGAGGTATCCCCTCGGCGGCATGATACTGGTGTCGCCATTCATTTCTATTCGCGCTGCTGCCAAACATATTGGTGGCAGAATAGTGGCCTTCATGTTCAGCAATATCTTCCAGAACCACAAGAGGCACGGCAGGTGAACTGCAGCATGTGCACCCTGCAAGTAGGCCACGCGAAAGATGCAGGAATATCATGTCAGGTGCTGCAACAAAGACTCTAAGCCCTACTAAATCTGAAGTTCTAGAAACTGTTACATAGGTCATAGGTCCCTCCACAGACAGTGGTAGGGGCCCAAGACACCCTCTAAACATAAGGATCTCTTAATAAGGGTTTGCTGGACTCCCCCTCCTCATCCCTCGTATACCCCTACCACGAGGATCAAGGCGTTATATAGGGGTGTAAGAGGGACTATTACCAATGCTGTTCCTCGTGGCTCCGTCTTCCATTATATATAATTATATATTCAATCATATATTGCCATATACAAAATAAGCGGTTCTCCCTAACCTAAACCCTAAACCCCTACAACCCTAAACCGCAAGGGTATTTAGGGCGGTGGTTTGTTCGGCCCCTGCCACTTGGGATTGGTGTCCCCCTTGAAACCCATAGTTGAGGGTTTAGGGTTTTGCGGGGTTAGGGTTCAGGGTTAGTGCTCCCTTGCCGGGTCTACAGTCAGTTGGTGCAGAGCTGCAAGAGAACCTCGAACCCCTAACTCGCTCCAAACCACAGACCAGAAGCCCTGAGCAATCAACACAAAGGCCCTAAACCGTGACTCTAATCTACGGGCCTTAGTCCCTAAAGCACCGTGACTCTAATCTACGGGCCTGAGTCCCTAAAGCTAAACGACTCCGAAGCCGAGAGGATGGTAAATGTCTCGTGCCCGGTGCTATTTATCCACGGTGCCAGCGATTCCCTGAAACCTTGGCCGGATTGGAAACCTTTAAACTGACGGCTTTTGAGCTTGCGACGGTTTCTTTTTTTTTTCAGGGCCTTTATGGGACCTTTTACAGGATTTTGAAGCGCGCTTCAAGGTTAAGGGTGAAAGTCTGCTGGGTGGTACGGTTGGTGATAGGGTTGAGGGTTTAGGGTTTAGGGGTACTGTTGTATAATTTCATGCCTAAGCCTTCAACTCACTCAGTATCGCTGAGCAAGGCCTTACAGTTGACAACCGAAGTTTCTGTCTAAGATGCGAGCTTCCGGCAGGACTCCCTATGACTCCACAGCTAGGACGTGTGTTTTGGGACAGTGGTGAATCTGATGCCTATTACGCAGCTACTTGCAGCCGAATGTGTGCAATGCATGCCAGCATTCTGTAGCTGATACGTTTGACTATCTTCGATGCATGGGCTACAAACTCAATGTTGCTGCTGTGGCGGTTGCCTGAAGCTTTCAACTACCCGTCGCAGATACCAAGCAACCCTCCACGCAAATTCGCCAAATGCAAACGAAATATTGCCCTAAAGCCTAAACCCCTAAACCCTAAACCCCAAAACCCTAAACCTCTAAACCCCCAAACCCCTAAACCCCTAAATTCTAAACCAGTGATATCTGTTGCAAGCTGAGCCCTCAACTGTACAGCCGAAACCTGAAGCGCGGCTGCCCAAGCATCGACATGGGTAGTTCTTTAAATTCGGGTCCCTTTTGGGGTTCCTTAAAGGGATCTATAAGGGTATCTATAGGGTTTCTAGTATATGGGTAGTTCTCTAACTTAGGGTCCCTTTTGAGGTCCCCAATACAGTACGGCACCCTTACAAAATGGACCCTAAAAGGGGACCCTAATTTAGACAGCTCTCCACATACGTCGACATTCAGGATACCCGTGGAACACTCGAAGACGCTGTTTAGCCTCTGCCGATCTCGCAAGCTTCTAGTCACTCCAGCCCCTTCGGCAGCAAGAGTTCAGTGATAAGCATGATTTAGAGGCCTGAATACAAAAAATATTGCCTGAGTAGTTAGTAATTGGGATACCCATAAAAAACCCTACTCAAGCATACAGAGACCCCTTGACTACTTCGTCATACCCAGCCTTAAGATGCTCTGCCACAACTCCCTCAAAACCCTAATCCAAGTCCTCAGAGGTCGGGATCATTTGTAATAAAGTTGCCTTGTTGTCCTCATACAGCTAGAGCACGTGATGCCCCAAGGCCCCCCTAAACTCTAAACCCTAATCCCCAAACCCTAAACAATCCGAAGAGAACCCCAAAAGGGTTGAAGCTTCAAGCGTCATATAGAGATTCATAGTACAAGGGGCATAGGGCGCTTACTTATAAGGGTCCTTCGGTCCCCAAGGTGTACTCATCTCCAAAACCCGGACCCCCCACTCCTCAAGGCCTTGCGGTTTTTTGGGACTTATACCATGCACCTGACCACCTTCCCCTGCAGAAGATAGAGCCCTAAACCCTTTACCCTCAAACCTCTGTTGGGGAGACTAGATCACAAATCCTAAACCCTAAGACTCCAAATAGCCCAAAGTAGGTACCATTTATAGACTTTAGACCCCAAAGTAGGTACTATTTGTATACTTGGAGTCTTAGGGAAAGACTAAACCGTGACTAGACAGGAGCCCTATCCTCTCCCGTGAAGGAGAAGATTATGGGGCCCCCGAAAGCGCGCAATGGCATGAGCAGATGGTTTTACAAGGGATATCCATACCCTGCTGGGCTTCGTTGTAAGAGAGGAATATATTATGTCCCCCTACCTGATGTGTTGCTTATCTGACTTTTTGGGGGCCCCAAAGATAGAACATGACCGAACTCCCTAAGCCCTAAACCCTAAGGAGCCCGATTCCCTGTGATCCGGACTTTGCGCGCACATAGCCTCCCCTCGGACCGAAGATGGACCCTGAACCCTTCGACTTAATAGCACGACATAAAGCTTTCTAAGGAAGCCTTTAAAGGAACCTCACCCGAAGATGGACCTTAAGCCCTTAAGCCCAACGAGCCCTGTAAAGCCTCTGGAGGAAACCTCGCAGGAACCTCTCCCTGGAAGGCGAAGATGCACCCTAAACCCATAAGCTCAGCAACTTGCGATGAAGCCTCAAGGCAAGGAACACTTGAAAGCACCTCCCACCTGTGGAAGGCGAAGATGGAATGACATTTTTTATTTTAAGCTCCTAAACCTTACAAAACCCAATAAACGCTGCAAGTTTAACACCCTTAACCCCAAATTCCATAATCCTGAACCCCCCCAAAAAATAATAATAAAAATAAACAACGCCCCACAAACCACCAAAAAGCCTCTTCAAGGAGCCCGGAAATCGGAACCTCCTCCTGGAAAGCAGGGATTTGTACGGTTGAAGACTGGGCTCCCGAGTATAAACCCTCAACGCTGGGATCCGGCTGAGACCCTCGTGCCTTAAGCCCATAACTCAGCCCTACCTGGGGATCCAGAAACCCACCGTTTTAGGGGTTCTACCCTCTAAGTAAGGCGTCATAGCCTGCTAATTTATAGGGTTTGGGGTCACAGGTAAACCCTGAACCCTAAACCGTAAACCTGAAGCCGCTCATGCCTTAAACCCTCAACCCTTATCGTACCCTTGCTACTTGAAGGAGCCTCCTAAAAAGGAACCCATATGGGAAGTTCTCTAACTTAGAGGTCGCTTTGTCGATCCAAAACATAGTACGACAGACACCCTCATAACAAAAGGACCCTAGAAGCTACCCTAAATCAGAAACTACCCACATACCTACGTGTTTTTCGCTTATCTGTGGCAAACGGGTCCCTAGAAGGGCCTAATGGGCCCGATTACCCCTGGGCAAGATGGAGCCTAAACCCCAAACTGTAAGAGAGCACCTCACAAAGCCTCTAGAGGAGCTCTTAAGGGAACCATCAAGCTGACTTTAAGGGTCCCCTTTTTAAGGGATGGCTTTGAGGGATTTGTTGAGGGATCTTAAGTCTTAAGGGATCCTATAAGGGTGCCCTTGCCGGCTACTTCTATGGGATCCTTTACGGGATTTTTTTGAGGGATCCTCGCCGGGCAAGGCGAAGATGGATCACAACAGCAGCATGTTCAGTGATCCGTTGCTCGGATCGGAGTGTCAGAGAGAAGTCATGCGGACCGGGTGGTTTGGGTTTGTTTTAGTTTAGGGCCTAGGGTGAAGCTGCAAACCTCAATAGAGGGGTTTAGGGCTTGGGGTTTAAGGGTTAGGGGTTTGGAGGTTTAGGGTTTAGGGTATCTATGGGTTTACAGTAGAAGCCCATAAGTTGGAACCCAATGGCCTCAAGCCTTAAGAGTAATGTATAAGGAATCCAAGCACTATTTGTCCTTAATCCGGTTGCCAACTCTTTGGGGTTTACTATAGGGCAGGGAGTTGAGGGACTGGGGTTACCCATAGGCCCCCAAGTAGTTCCTTTTTGGGATTACCTTATTGGGTTCTAAATATGAACCACAAAAAGGAACTACGTAGGGGCCTGTGGGTAGGGAGTTATCAAGGAATCAAGAGACCTATTAATGTTGACTGAGGCTTGGCTGGGCTCTCTCCCAAAGTAGAGGTAGATTAGTCGGTTTAGGGTTTAGGGTTTAGGGACGTAGATTCGGATGGGTTGTAGTCGTCTGAAACTCTGTCCGCATAGCTGATACTGATACACTCCTGCAAGTACATGCTGTCTTATAGCTAAGTACTACTACCAAGGCACCAACCCCTGACCCTAAAGCCCCAAGGAATGCTTTTGCCGTGCCTGCCATACACTTCTTCGGCTTCCCCGGATGGCGCACGCTGACACCGCCCTTCATGCCCTTCGATCTTTTCGAGGCCGGGAGTCTTCGAAACTAGGGGTTTAGGGTTTAGGGAATGCGAAGCGGTTCTACCAAGCTGTCTTCTGCAAAAGGCCATGGGGCAACTCTAATCCTCTTCAGGCTTTTTTTGTTGATTGCCCTAAGCCCCGAAAGAGTTTAGAGCGAACGTTTAAACTTTGTGGGCCTGGTTATGATAGGGGCAGTCATCAGCTTTATCATCTTCCACGAAGCTTTAGATTTCGGGTTCAGGGTTAGGAGTCAGGCTTTAGAGCTCTATGGATCAAGCCTTTAGCCTTACGGTCTCTATGGCGTTTGGGGAACTATGGTTTAAGATTGTAAGGTTTTGGGTTTCTCAAGCACGGTATCGAAGTCTGGAAGCTGGAAAGAACAAGCAGCGGAAGCCTTGCTAGCACAGCCCGAACATTCTGAGAGTTTAGGGTTTTAGGGTTAGACTTTAGGGTTTATAGGGTTTAGAGTCTAGTTTAGGGTAGAAGAAGCACCGCCCCCCTACATGGTAAGGGTTTAGGGTGCACAGTTGTCGGTGAGAACACTCCAGCCAACTTTGCAGAGACTCGTCGGCAGGGATGCAGCCCCGTCTCAATAGATTTGGTCATGACTTTTATTCTATAGCCAGGCAGGTAGCTTAGGTAGGCGGCTAGGTCGCTAGCTACGGTAGGTAGGCATGCCGGTGGGTGGGTTGGTAGGTGGGTTCGGTTACCTTGACGAATCCAACTTCTAGGAGCACCCTAAACTGTCTAGGCTCCCCAGTAGTACCCTTTTGCCCCAGTTTATTTGGGGGTCTCCTTAGTAAAGCCGAATATTAGGAGAAAGGGTACCCTTATTATTCAGGGGTTGCTGGAGAACCTAACCCTAAACCTCCCCCAAAACTTGCTCTGCCCTGGCGAGGCACATCGGCTCGACTCTGAGACCATGCACTTGATCCCAGTCTGAACTTGAGCCTTACCCATAGGCTCCAAAGTAGTTCCTCTTTGTGGTTTATATTCAGGATCCTAGAAGGTAGCCCCAAAAAGGAACTACTTTGGAGCCTATGGGTAAACCCCATTTTCTCCCAGGTCATTTTGTTCGTTGGCCGGCCAGTTTTATCCTCTGGATTAGGGTTGAGGGTTTAGGGGCTCGGGTTTAGTGTTAGTGGTGTGGGGTGGAGGGTTTTGGACACGGTGAAAAAACCCAGGCAGCCAACAAGGCTCTACGCACACTGGAGGGTAGAGGTAATGCTGAACTTCACCCACACCCTCAGCCCCACGCTGTGCTTCTTGCAGGTACCTCCCCAGAGAACGCAATACACCTTAATCAAGGGATATACCTTAAATTATAGGGGGCCTTAATGTCATGACTTAAGGTATATTCCTCAATCAGGGGATACTGGGCTCTCTGGGTCTATCATGTGAGTTGAGCGTTTTCTGGTTGACCATAGGCTTTTATCGTGGAACAAACACGAAAACACCCTAAACCCTAAGCCCCAAAAGCTTCAACCTCTTCGACCCTTTAGTAGGGTTTAGGCTCCAGGGCATTGGGTTTAAGGTTTTCGGGTTTAGGGTCCAGGGCTTTGGGTCTAGGGTCCAGGGCTTAGGGTTTACGAAGCACCGGGAGACCCGTCTGTTTCCCTTATCGGATCTGTGAGGACCAGCACTGGCGAAGAACTTATGAAGCCCTAGACATGGATACTGCAGGGCCTGAACACATTTCCTGAGGACTGCCTACTGCAGCTGCAGTAAATTATAGATTTGACAGCACTGTGCAGTAACAAGTTTTTGCCTGATATCAAGACCTCTATAGTAGACCAAAGCGGTAAACCCGTACAGTATGTCTTTATGGCGGCCCTGAAACAGAGCACGGAAAGGAACCCCTAGTCTAATCATCAAGGCCCCGCATTTTCCGGAATCGGCTACTATAAAGCCTACACCCAAAACGCCAAATACCTAAACCCTCTAAACCCTAAGCCCAAAAACCTAAGCCCTAGAATCCTAGAACCCCTACCGAGAAGCCCAGTGAACCCCTCGAAAGGAAAGATGGCTCGGGAAAGAAGATGGAGGCCAAACCTCCCCTCGTCTCATTACTTAGAAGCACTTGGATAAACTTTAGAATGTCTTTTTTGCTATAATCCCTGAGAAACAGCTGAAATGCTCATTCTGGCAAGATAGATTAAGGATTGCGGTTTTTCAGGGTTCGAGGGTTTAGGGTTTGGGGCGGGGTGTCGGGTTCAGCGAGTGTTAGAGTTCAGGGTTTAGGCATTGGGGTGTTAGGGTTCGGGACGTAGTTTCTTAGGGTGTCAAGGCTACTTTTAGTACTCGTTTATACCTTTGCAGGCGCCTGGGCAATAGGTAATAGACCTTGCTCGGCAGAGGAGTTTATGAATCAGAGGTCCGCTTGGCTGTTTGACATATAGCACATCAGAATACTGAGGGCTGAATCAACAGCAATACTACTCCATAGGCCTCCTTCATATGATGGTACTACAGTTTACCGGAAAATCCCGATTCTAAACAGTAAGGCCCCTATATTAGCGGGCTGGCTGCGAGGTTCCTGATAGGATCGTTCTACTTTGATTGAGGTCATGAGCCTTGATGGAGATAGGATTGCTATATGTATAAATAAATGAATGAATGAATGAATAAACAAATAAATATACATAAATAGATATAAACAAAGAAATAAACATACATAAATATATATACATAAATAAATAAATATGTAAATATAAACATAAATGAATAAATAAACACATAGATAATATATATATACATACATACATACATACATACATACATACATACATACATACATGCATACATACATACATTCATACATATTCCGACGAAGCCCTGTCCCTGTCAACAAAGCCAGCCTCCGATGTTGGAAGGGTCCCGAGTCTTGGCTCTACAACTGCTGCGGGAAGCTTTCCGAAGAGATCCCCGGCCTGGCCTTTGTTGTTCCTAGGGTTTAGGGTTTGGGTTTTGGGTTTGGGGTTTGTGTTTTAGGGTTTAGG